CTCCTCTATATATATATATATATATATATATATATATATATATATATATATAATTGCCGATGGTGATAGATTTTTAAAACAACTTTTAAAAATATACCCCCTCATCTTCCAACACTTAATAAAAACAACCCTCAAACTTAATAACCTATAAACCTTGTTATCACACTTCATGTGTTTGATGCGATAAAAAATAGGGTTGTCTCGTCTGTATGATGCCACAAAATACAACCCCTGACGAACTGACGAACCGACTCCCTAACTTAAAATTTTAACTCCACCCCTGATACCAAGTTTGCATACAAAGATTGCATATAATGTACAATAGCTTCATAAAAACTTGTATGCAAACTCCACATATTACCTTAAGGTCCCCAACAAAGCCGGTCCTGAGATTTTGGATGCCCATGGCGGAAAGTCAAAAAAATGTTCCGTATATGTGTAAATAAAAACCAAAATAAACTATTTGAAGGGGTTTGGAACCTAGTCAATCTAGGCGGCTCATCCACACGCGGATTTATTTTAAATATAACAAAAATGATGCAACGGGGGGACATAAACCAAAACCCCGTGTAACAAAATATAAAATATATCACCATTCGTGGTTCGTGTTGTGAAATTGCCAAGAAAGTGGAACGATTAGGAAACCTGGACAAATTGATAAAGGAGAAGAAAACATAAGCATCAATCTTAAGTCTTTATCCTATATTAACCCGCTTCAAAACAACTCCTAAAAAGCTTCTAAGCAGACCTAAAAAGTGCAAAATTTAAGGCTTGAGCAAATGGAAAGGAAAGGAAATTCTATTCACATTTTGAAGTCTTTAGAGGATACAAATAGTGAACAGGAAATCATGAATTTGGGCCACCAACCTAACAAGGAATGGTTGTTTTTTATGGAAGGAAGAAGAGGCTTATAGTCTATTAGTCTTGTACTCTTATAGACATCTTTACTTCTTTAGGCCAACCACCCATTCACCCAACAATTAACAAATGGCAGCAGAAGCTTTGACTATTTGACACACAACAATGTCTGCAATTGAAGTGAGTAACCAAACTCATTTCATGGATTTTACTTAGAATTGCAAAACGAAACAGCCCAAGAAACAGTCCCAAGTTCCATTGTAATATTGTTTACTGAAAACCTAAGTAGGCATTAGGCAATTAGGCACACATGATACATACACTATTACATCTTCAAACTTTTAAAGCTTAAAAGAAAACCTAAGTATAGAGTAATGGAGGCAGCTTCATCTAGATTATAAATTAATAAAACAAGAATTAGAAACATAAAATAAGTAAATTAAATAACCCTAACCTAAGTCATCAATCAGATTTTGAGTGGGAGAGTCGAGAGAGCGAGAGGCGAGACTGCCGACTGCCAACAGTGGTGAAGTGAACTGGTGATTTCAATCAACAGACAACAACTCGTACTTGGTACTTCTAGCCTCTAGAATGTCAATCGATAGTGGTGTGTCGTGATTTGAGATTTCGATCGACAGTGATGAATGGTGATTTGAGATTTCAATCGTCAATCTGTTCGTGCAATCATGTGGCAGCCGGCAAGCGACTGAGCGAGACAAGAGAGTGGAGGACGAAGGAGAGAGCGCGGCCGATTGTAGAGGTAAACTGGTAACAAAATTTAACCAATATATGGATGTTAGGCTTCACAAATATGGATGCCCTTGGGCTTTTTGCTACCCTAAGCCGTCACCCCTTGGACCTATGGCCAGGGATGTGTATTGAGTGCCATAAAATTTTAATCAAATGAGATTTCTGCCATTGATCTATCCAAGGTTGTTTGGTTAGGGGGTGGTAAGGGCATCTTCACTGGCATCAAATCTTACATCAACACCAAGGTTACACTAATTCAATCGGTAACATAAAGTTTTACACCAAGTTTGGTGTATTGAATATACTAACATACAAATTTAGTGTAACATCATTTATTTATATTAATTTTTTTCACGAATTTTTATATTTATATATTTTTGTTTTAAAAGTGTTCAAATTTTACTAGTTTTTGTTTGTTATCTATATTGTAATATAAATTGTATTTATATCGATTGTAAATTTAAGTTTTAATTAGTTGAATTGTTATGCATTCAACTAATTTTGAAACTAAATCCATTTTAAATAACATAAAACATGATAACATATTAAATTAATCAAATCATTAGTAATAAAATATGATAAAGCACATTAAAGAACAATTTAAAAATACATAATAACTATTCAAATTCTAAATATGTTATTTAAATTCAAAATAATAAAAATGTAATCCCTTGACAAGTCTTGCGCATTGTACAGTTTTTGTCAAATTCACCGACAGGAATTGAATTTTCCATTCTTTGATGAATTAGAAAATTAAATACTATAGTAAGTTGTGTCTCCATCTGTAATAATGACATATCTACTTCTTCCTCCTATAAAACCCAAACTCCCCATGCACCCTTTTCATATTTACGAGAACAGAATATGAAGATCGAATTTATCTTTGCCATATTGCTTATTGCCACCAATTTCATATATGGTAAATATTTTTTCTATTATATTTATGTATCTATATATCGTATAATATATATGGAAAATTCCGTTAGATACCAATGATTGATTAGGAACCCGGAACCACTCATAGCACGACAAGTTGCATATTCATTATGAATGTGTTACAACATTCATGATAAATAACACGTCCTTATCCCTTATGGATGTGTCACGTGTCATGCTATGAGCGTTCCCAGTTTCCTAACAGAACCTACCCATATATATATATATATATATATATATATATATATATATACTTGGGATCATGTGAGACCAACCTGTTTTCATGAGACCCGTGATACCACTTGTTTACATTTGAAACTTCACAGTAAAATGTTGTGAAGGTAACATTCACAGTGTTTTTGTTGTGCAGGTTCGGATTTTTTTTTACCTTCACAATGTTTTCGCTGTGAAGTTTCAAGTATAAAAAGGTGGTCTCACAGGTCTCACGAAAACGGACTGGTCTCACGTGAACCTAACCCTATATATATATATATATATATATAATTTGTGAGAATAAGAGTTAAATTGAGAATCGTAAGAAAGAATCTGGACCCTTTGATCACCTTTAATCTCAAACTCATTCCTGAATCACACTTGATACGGGGATTGATCCAGTACATCTCATCTTAATGTACAGATAAAGGTGGAGATCCCTTCTTACAATTCTCATATTAAGTCTCATCCTCACTGGAATCCAACCATACACACATACACATATATGTATATACATATATATACACACACATACATATATATATATATATATATATGTATATGAAGAGAAAGAGAGAGGCGGTTCAAATAAGAAGGTCAAACAATGTTAGAAAAGTAACAAGAAAAGGTTAAAGAAATGTTTATATGAGTCTCCATTGAAAAATATATATAAATATATATATATATATATATATATTTGAAGATAAATATGTAAACTGCCTTTACAGATTATCTTTTTGGGTTTACATAAAAATTATCGGATGATGTTTTTCTATGATTAACATATGAACCTTTAACCTTCTTTTTTAAACCACTACCGTGGTGATGTGTTGGAAAATTGCTAAGGGGGGTGTGGAATATCTCATCTTTCTCATATTCAAGTCCAGGCATTAGCATTGTGTGGCCAGGCTTAGTCTCAGGCGGCCACAATTTGCCCGTATGTAATATAGGAAATTGTCTAGGTGAACCTTTCTAAAAAAAACCTTTACCTTTTTCCGATATTTAGTTTTCTTATTTAGATCTCCCAGTATATGTATGTGTATATAGCGATAGGATGAAATTGGAAGAACCTAAAAAAGAAAAGCAGAAGAACCACCAAAAAAGGGGTGAGATCGGCTCTTTTTTTCCTGGGTTCCCTCCAGATAGTTTTGGTATATAAATATATATATATATATATATATATATAAGTGATTTTCATGATTTCTAATTTTAGACGGTTTCTATTTGATTTGTCTCTCTCTCTCTCTCTATATGTATATATATATATATATAGGTTCAAACGAGAAGATATTTATTTTAGTAAAATACGAGAATGCTCTTTGACGATAAAAAATAAAATCCGGTGGTGTGTGGGCAACTTGCCCCACGAACTAGGGTCACGCCGAAGGTTGCCCACATCTTATTGATCATTATCACTTGTGATTCACTATGGTAAAATGTGTTTTTATGTTTTTTATAAAATGAAGATGTTTACGTTTGAATACTTCCCCGTATATATAGATAATTCTATGGGTTATGGTATTTGGTGTCTTCAACTAAAGAAGCCATATATGTTGCATATTATGATCCTCATCGCATCAATGAATTGTTAGGTATTCATTCAACTCGCTTCACCATAAAAAACAACTGTCCTTATGGCATCGCACCAGCAACTTTAACCGGCACAGGAGACTCAGTGTCAACCGGATTCGAACTGGCACCCCAAGTCTCAAACACCATTACCATGCCGGTCCCATGGTCTGGACGAGTCTGGGCCCGCTTCGGTTGCTCAAACAATGGTGGAAAGTTCCATTGTAACAGCGGAGACTGCGGTTCTGGTCAAGTAGGATGCAATGGCGCTGGTGCAGCCCCACCTGCAACCCTAGTTGAGTTTACTTTATCACCTGCAGGTCAAAATGACTTTTACGATGTTAGCCTTGTTGATGGGTTCAATTTACCAGTTTTGGTTGTTCCACAAGGCGGTGCTCGTTGTCCAACGACTGATTGTCCGGTTGACATTAACGCTCAATGCCCACAGGAGCTTGCTGTGAAGGATGCATCCGGTGGAACAATTGGATGTAAAAGTGCATGTCTACAGTTTAACAAACCGGAATATTGTTGCACCGGCAATTACAATAGACCGGAAACATGCCCGCCGACGAACTATTCACGGTTTTTCAAGAATCTTTGCCCCAAGGCTTATAGTTATGCTTATGATGACACATCAAGCACTTTTACTTGTGGCAATGGAGCTGATTATCTCATTACTTTCTGCCCATGATGTTTCTTTCACATATGAATAATAAATGCTTATTTGCATATGTTTTCTTGTTATTTATATTGTTAACCCAACTTATTATTTAATCATATAATACTTTTGATATATCATGTTGCAACGATCAATGTATTGTTTTCAATATGTAGTTATTTTGTTGAAAGACTTTTTATTCTTGTCCAAAATTACGTTATGTTTATTAAATTTGCCGATAAACTAGTTGTTGAGTGAAAAACTAGTCGTTGACGATAAGCAACCAAATAAACTAATCATGTTTAGTAAAAAATAGTTGATAAACCAGATAACAATGTAAACTGACTTAAATTAGATTTTGAAAAAAATACTCGGGTCCAATAGAGGTAGGTTAAATACACACTTGTTATAGTTAAATGCACCCCTACATGTTAATATCTTTCTCGTACACATTAACATCAAGAGTTATTTTTTTTTTAATTCTCAATGTATGATTTGACTTAAATTTGGTTTATATAAGGGTGCATATAACAACACTGTTCCAATATATAAACAACAAGGTTCAAAATCGCTTGAGGCGTGACGTGGCAGCGAGATCAAGTCTCAAGCCTTATAAGCCATGGCGAGGAAATGGTGTTTTTCAAGGCATGATATAAGACGACAAATTTGTTTGTCATAGTTAGAATTATATATCTACGTATATGTTTTCTATATATTATCTAATTAGATAATGATATTAAAAAGTGTACATTCATATTAGAAGAAAAATCGTATAGATTATTATTATAAAAAATATTTTTGATTAAATATTTAAAAAAGAACTTATAGAAGTAATTTTACAACTTGGCTTTAATTGTGAGTTGATTGTCAAATTGTAAGTGGTGTGATTAGATATATTTATGAAAGTGCAAAATTTAAAGCTAAAAATGTAAAAACACAAAAACAAACTATTTTTTTTAAATCACATTACAAAAAAAACTAGATATATGTTAAATTGTTTTTGTTGTGGATTGTCTCTCTCTAATTTCTCAATTTGTAACTTTGTAAGAAAATACAACAAAAATAGGGTGACATTTTTAAGCATGTCAATCCCAACCCAAACCCCCCTCCCCTCTTCAAAATTTTCTTTTTTTATTGATGTAATTATTATCAAAACATTAAATTAATTAGACTATTTATCATCGTTAGTTACATCTAATATTTTTTAAAATTTTTTATTTCACATTAATCTATTTTTTATTTACACAAAAATTATCGAATATNATATCGATATATTTTTGTCAAATTTTTATGATATATTCAAACATATATTTTATTCAAAAATAAAAACATAATCGCTTTCTTAAAATCACATAGAGCCATATTATAACATCGACTGAGATAAAGAATAAAATGAAATATTAAAATCACGATGTATCTTGCTGCATTGTGCGAGTACGCTTCTAGTATATCTAAATGAGTTTGTAAATATTTTTATTCTATATATATTTAATAAGACTTGAATATAATAATATGTATATTTTTAATTTAAATTTTTCTCAAACTTTGTCTTTTCTTATTGATATAATTATTAGCAAATATTAAATAAATTAAACTATTCATCTGCATTAGTTACACCAAAATTTATTTATTTCTTTTATTTCACATGACTCTAATTTTTTATTCATATAATAATTAATAAATATATATAATCCATATTTAAAAACTCATTCATATAAATGAAATTAGAATTAATATGTACTAGTTGTTTACCCGCATAATGTGATGGGGCAGTAAATGTAAGTGATTTTGAAGCTTTGGCGGTATTGTTATTTTAAGGATGAAATATTTACACTTAGAAAACATTTACCCAAATTCTTACTCAATAAACGCTTACCGGTAAGTTTTAACACTATAACTTATTTTACCATGTAAGACTGTATTCCATCAAAACAATAATGTGTGTTACAATTTACCCAATAAACGTTTATTGGCTAAGAGTCATCACACTCACTCAGCAGGTAAGGCTCTCCGTTTTTATCATCAATTTTAATGCTAAGAGAAACCTAACACTATAGTAACTCAAAATCTTTAAAAGGAAGCTAATCTCACCATGTTTCATTTCTATAATGAGCTAAACACAATAGTCATGGGTCATTTTGCTCAAGGCAAATTCCAGAGACGTCGAGTTTGATTTCAAAATTAAAACTGGGACAAAGCGTATTCACTCAGATTCAAACGACGAACAACGATCACCGATTAAGCTATTAAGAACATAAACATATTGCAAAAGAAAAGTGTGCAAGAACATAAACAAATTTTAAAGCAAGAACAAACACACCCGAAATTATACCTCAATATCTTACCTCGTTCATGCAATTTCTCGTAAGAGAATAGAGGGTTTTGCATAGGTGAAACAATTGGTGAGAGAGAGAAACTTGATGGTGGTGATGGGTCTGTGAACATAGATGTATGGAATCAAATCTGAGAGCGAAAATCGTCATTCTTGGGAACACGGATCCAAGGTAATGTAGATAGTATTAGCCACAACCTTCAAGTCAACACTAAAAGATGTCAATTCATAGGTTCTATATAAAATGAACTTGAAAATTATAGCTCAAAATACACCTATAAGCCAAGGAAAAAGATTTTGGCTAATAATCCATTGATTCCATGATAGCTTTCACTCATTAAGAGACGCCATATTCAAATTATGATAATAAATGGGTCATTTACCGAACATTTACTGGATAAGATAAGTGATATTGGTAAATGCTTACCCGAGCGTTCAATAAACTGTCCCTAAGTTGACCTCACAAGTACCAACCAATAGTACACATACATTTAACACTTGAACTATAAACCTCCATTGCTTCTCATTTTTTGAATCAAAACAAGCCATGAATCATTAAAACACTAATTTGACAGTTAATTATGTTAGACATCTAGACAAAAAAAGGACTTTCATATGGGCAGGAATGCCAAACTATAAGCAACCATGATTTTTTATTAAGCTTCTTTTAAGTAGGATAGAAACTAGAGGAAAAGCTAAATGCTACAAACTCTGAAAAGCTAATGCTAAACCACCAAACACAACACTACACACTTTTACCCCACATATGTGAACCAAAATGACCAACAACACAACTCAAGCAAGAAAATAACTAAGACACAGTAAGATCCTTTTGAGGTTCATTAAAATAAATAATACATCAAGGTGATGTTATGTAAATATAATAGTTGGAAAATAAATCAAAATCCACTTCAAAAGATAACTATAAAGCAAATAAGTTGAGCAAGTTATTTGGAAAGCCTAAAAATAGAACACCAAACACAAAGATATTGATTTGGCTAGAGCCTAGTTAGTGGGTAAAACAAGAAATTCTTGTTTTTTCTGAAATATATAATATTTATGTACGACAAATAGAACAAATAAACTCACACACCCTTCTTACTTTTGGTGAGGTTTGAACCATTGACCTCCTAGGAGGCCAATGACTCACATACCGCTAGGCCAAACTTTGGTAAGAAATACTTGTTTCATAGAAAGAAAAATGCAAAATAAAATCGATCCCTAGAGAATATAAAAAAGTCATATTACCATCTTTCAGTTGATTTTTGCCGATCAAGTTTACCCTTGATCTTAACCTTGCATACCTACATATAATAGCAGACAAAGAATTTAAGACATCATAAATCACTCGTTCAGTTGAAAAAGATGACAAAATAGATTCCTTTGGGAAAACACCTACCATATATGCTTTGAACATGGTTTTTCTTTTTCATGATAATATATGCAATGAAACATCTACAAGGCAAAAGAACCAACCATGGAAGCTTTATTTTATCATATTATACTTAAACATGTATAGGAAGCTCATCCAAGTGGTTCACAATTCCATACAGTAGCTTCACAAATGTGTGTGTATATATATATATATATATATATATATATGTAAAATATGCACAGACTGTGCATGTACTCCAATGTGACCCTGCCATTGGTTCCATTCGATGGCCAAGCACAAACCAATTGAATCGAACATGGGTTTGTTCCACAGTTCGCAACCATGCTCACAAAAATACACCATCGATTTCTTGAGAGTAAGGGGTCTGCCGAGGCTGTTTTATGCTTCTGATTGAGGCAATACAAGGATTCTTCTGCACAATCTCCCTAAC